CTCCAGACCAGGAATACGCAAACTGTGATCTATAGAGATCGTAGATTATTTCGATGGTTTTTCTTTTCTTTTTTTATATTTTTTTCTGTTCTTTTTTTTTCCTTTTTTTCTTTTTTCTTTTTTTTTCTTTTTTCTATTTTTTTTTTTTTTTTTTTTTTTTTTTTTTTTTTTTTTTTTTTTTTTTTTTTTTTCTTAACGTGAAACTCGTGATTAAAAAAATTGAGATAGATGAATAATTAAACGAGAGACGATCTTCTTCAGCCATCAGATAAATTTATTTATTCTATTTGTTACTAGAAAAAGAAAATTATCGTTTGTGCATTCCTGTTCTTCAATATCTTAAAGATAACGTGTTATTATTTTGTTATATATCAACGTATAATGGAGTAGGAACCAACTTTACGTTGATATTATTTTCCTTTATATATATATAACGGATTATTTTCGATATATATATATATATATATATTTTTTTTTTTTTTATATACATATATATGAAACATAAAATTTTATATAAAAGCATAGTAGAGGCACTTGAAAGAAAATGATGGTAATGAAAGAAATGCAACATTCGGCTCTTAAACTTTAATTATTGTGATAATCTCACTGTGTCTTTCTCAGAATATCGTAAGATTCTAATAGTGAAAAACAAGTTGAGAAATTTTCTCTCGTATCCATCTCATTTTCTTTTTCTTTTCCATTTTTTTTTTTATTATTTTTTTTATTTTTTTATTTATATATATATATATATATATATATATATATATATATATATTTTTTTTTCCCTCATTATGCCGCAACGTCATGACGAAAGATACATTTTTTAATATCCGATCATATAATATCCGACGAATGCAAGCGTATACTGTAGAAACGAAGGAACTTGTTTTAAAAATAGAAAACTAGATGAGAGTTAAGATCGTCGATGTTTCAATATAATTATTCAATATAATTATTATTATTTTCGTTTTCATCAACAACTTTCTCTCTCGTTTCATCCCTTCTTGCATTTGATTATACCGTTTCGTAAAAGCATACTTCGTTCTTTTTTTTTTCTTTTTTTCTTTTTCTTTTTTTTTTTTCTTTAACAAATAAATTGATCAAGTATAATAACGAATTATAAAATTAAATCAGACTTCTCTAAAGAACATTTTATTTTTTCCTGTTACGTATTAATCGTTTGATTATCCCCCCCCCCCCAAAAAAAAAGGAACGACAAAAATTAATTATTTTCTTACACACCTTAACTTGATCAATTTGCGATCTATAAAGATCTTTGCTAATATATATATATGTATGCCGTATAGCAATTAAATGTACTATTCTAATCGTAATAAGTAGCTTTTAAAAATTGTCGCTTCAAAATGCAATACTTCCGTTAAAAAGATGAGAGATCGCCCATCGTTAATCACGTTATTACATTCGTTTGTTTAATGTAAATAAAACAGCATATGAGTCTCTAAATAAGAAGAGATAGAAATAAAAAGATAGATATATAGAGAAAAAGAGAGAGAAAGAGAAAGAAAGAGATAGAAAAGAGAGAGAGAGAGAGAGAGAGAGAGAGAGAGAGAAAGAAAGAGAGATAGAGATCCTTCCAGAAACCAAAATCAAAAATCAGTTCTAACGTAGATCTCATCTAATAACGATGAGCTACTTTTGTTAGATAAACAATAATATTTATAAAAAAAAAAAAGAAGAAGAATTGAAGAGGCGAACAATAGATCGTTCGATTTATCTGAGGCAGCGCAACCACTTTGGTACAAGAGCTGCGCACCTCAAGTAATCTCAAATGGAGCCACTACTATCCCCAGGGAATACCATCATATTTTCGGCACCATAAGAAGGAGTCGGTGAACTTCTTGCATCTAATGATGCTCTGCTCGCTGAACTGAAACTACTCGAACTTAGATCTTCATAACTTGCAACCGATTGACTCCCACCTGAAACAAAAAAATATTTGTATTTTTTTCGAATATCTTTTGTTAATATATTCACTCCAACCTACCTAACGTAGCTACTTATCGTTCTAATTTCAATTTATTTATTTATTTAGAGTTGAACAATATAACGCTTGATCGAAGTAGTTCCTTTTTTTTTTTTTTTTTTTTTTTCATTTTTTTTCATTTTTTTAAATGTCTTACGATTTCAAATATACGAATTTCCATTTCTTTTTTCTTTCTTTTCTTCAATGTGCCAACATATGTCAATCAATCTTTAAATAATTTTAATCATTTTATTATATACAATATGAGACGGTGATTGTATGAAAATGATTTCTAAGACATGTATATCTTTCCTTTTGAGATATTTCGACTTTTCAAAAGATTATTTTTTCTTTTTTTATAATGAAACAAGCAGGGAAAAATTACCAAGTATATTCGATTTTGAAAAAAAAAAGAAAAAAAAAATAATTCTCTTTCGTTTAAACATAAACAATTGAATTTAATTTTAACAAGCAATTAAAATTAAATTTAAACAATTTTTTAAATAACCTATGAGACCAAATATATCTTGTAATGGTGCAAATGATTTAGATCATTTTCATAATCACCGATTTATATATATATATATACACACACATATATGCATGCACGCACACACACATACACAAACACAATTATTATACTTCGCGTGTGTTAAATCAATTCAATATACGTTGGCACGAAAAGAAAACAATAGTTTCATACAATACATATCCTTTATCATACAGATCAAATAGCTTAGAGAGTCTTGTCAATATCATAACAAAATTATAATAATGATTTCATTCAAATACATGTGAGCAGTTAAAGCTCGACGTTCAATGTCTTCTCACATTTATTATCGATTTCGAGTTATTTATTTAAGATCAATTTAAATGATAGAATAATGTTTGATCTTGTATCAATATAGTACATCCAATAAATACAAGAGAAGGATGGGTATAAACGAAGGGTCAGTTTAAAAAATAAAAAGAGAAATAAGAAATATACATAAGGGACGAATCACACACGAGAGATTTAAAAAAATAGAACGCATGTACATTTATCTTCTGACTAGTCGATTTTATTTCCGTCATTATTACTCTTTTCGTTTTTCTTTTTTTTTTCTTTTCTTTTCTTTGTTTTTTTTTTTTGGTTTCTTTATTTTTTTATTTCTTTTTTTTTGGTTTAACGATCGCCTCCATTGTTATATATATATATATATATACATACATACATACATACATACATACATACATACATACATACATACATACATATATATATATATATATATATATACGCGAAGGTCAGAAAACGATCGTTCTTTTTTCTTTTCTTTTCAAGTTTTACTTTACAATCATAACGTTTTACAACTCGATATTACCTCAAAAAAAGTCGTGCAAGCTCTTTCGTGTTACGTCCACATGTTATATCATTTTAGCCGACAATGTTCGAAATGGTTCCGTCACGTTTATTTATCGCGGAACTGATAACAATAATTTGACGTTATTATGTATTATACTCGCTCGTCTCCTTTCTTTAATTCTTTCTCCACTCGCATAAAATGATATCATTCGATTGTTAAGAAAAACTAATAATTAATTAATAATTATCAGTTTGATCATTAAACTTTGGCATTAAAGGATCACATTTTTTCACATCAGTTGACAATGAAAAAGAATAGATAAAACGAAATGATAATTGAAAGAAAATATAACATAGAGTTTAGATTTTTTTTTCCAGGAATGGATAGCTCGTACGTTAATCAAAAAAAAGTGTTAGGAAGTGTGTATATATATATATATATATATATATATATATATATGTATGTATATATATTATTATTTTTTATTATAAATAAAAAAAAAAAAAGAATAATAATAATAATAATAGGTAATACGACGACGATGACGATATTCAATGCGTGTATATATATATTCTTATAATTTTTCTTCATTTAGCTGTAAGCAATGACGATTGAACAATATATTTTCTAATCGCTCCTTCGTTATACGTGAAGCGTATATAAAATATAAATTTTAATGAGACGCTCTTTGATACATAGTGGCTTTTTTTTTTTTTTTTTTTTTTTTTTTTACACAAGCATACAATTCACGATAAAATTAATATATACGCAAATGTGTTTTTTCGTATTATATTAGAAAAAACTAATTTCAATAATAATTAAGGACTAAACGATCATTACAAATATTCGAAATTCTTATATGTCCTTATCGATTATTTATTAGGACTTAACAATTTTCTCGAAATTTGTTTAATCTCATTAAAAAAAAAAAAAAAACTATATATATATATATAATAATAATACTTGAAATAATTATCAAAATAATTTGCGAAATACGCGTAATTATTGAATTGTTTCGTCAAATTTAGAAGAGAAAGAGAAAGAGAAAGAGCGAGAGAGAGAGAGAGAGAGAGAGAGAGAATATTAATTGCATCATCAACTAAGACTGCAACCCTAAATTTGTTTAATAATTAAATGATCTATACTTATGTGTAAGAACACATGTATGCAAAAGTTACACGATATAATCAGCTTGTATAGTAATATGCTCATCGTTTGAGCAATTTTAATGAATTATAATATTTAATCACGTTGGTAATACTTTTATTCTATAAAATGAGAGAGAGAAAGAGAGATAGAGAGAGAGAGAGAGAGAGAGAAAGAGAGAATGACTAAGAGGATTATGTGATAAGGATGCTTAAGGGAAAGTAATTAGGGTTGCTTGAATCGCAAATATACATTGCATTTTCATAAGAGAAACGCTACTTATTCTTTGTAAATTAATTAATATATCAATGAATGAATGAATAAATGAATGAATTATTTATCTCTTTAAGTATATATATATATATATATTTTTTATATATATAATCAATTGCTAAATGTGCCGCCATCTAAGAAGTAACGTTGAAAAAGACAAAAATTTGAATTCGAGAGAAACATAAGAGACAAAATTCAAATAAAATAAAATATCGAGAGTAATATTTTGTCGTACGAGCAAATGAAAAAAAAAAAAAAAAAAAAAAAAGAAAACGAGAGAGAGAGAGAGAGAGAGTGAGAGAAAGAGAGAGAGAGAGAGAGAGAGAGAGAGTGAGAGAAAGAGAGAGAGAGAGAGAGAGGGAGAGAGAAAAAGAAAGAAAGAAGAAAAACTGATACATTTTTTTTCCTATATATATAAACTCAATGTGACTCAACTGATATATTGTTTTTCATTGCATTTCCCCATTTCTTCTCGATCGAAACACATCATTAGACGACACTTCAGGACGGCACGTAACACGAGATACATTTTGTTCGTGTCCTATCATTATAAACTACATACTTATATGTTATATCATATATCATATCATATCATATTATATCATATCATATCATATCATATATATATGTATATGTACAACGTACATATATGTATCGCATAATTCATATTATTATTATTATTATTATTACACTAAAATTCAAAGCTAATAATACATGCCTGCATGTAGTAACCTATTTTTATTTTTATTTTTATTTTTATTTTTATTTTTATTTTTATTTTTATTTTGTTGTTGTTGTTGTTGTTGTCCATCTATTTCTTCTTCGTCGTTTTTCATATTAAATTTGCCTAAACCCAAAATATGTATAATTCGAACTCGCGAATAGTTTTTTTTTTCTTTAACTGCACACACGTTCGCATAACAATGATTTTTCTTATTTTCTTATTTTTTTTTTTTTTTTTTTATTTTCCGGTTAATGATATTGCGACGTTGAGAATCAGACAATGTACATCTTGTTTCTTCGTTCGGATTCGTAAAGAATCGCTAGAGATATTTTCTTTTATTTTATCATATTTTTTTTCTTTTTTGTAATTACTTATTTTACTTCTTTTCTTTTGTTTTTCTTTTTCTTCGCAAACAACCGGATATGTGTTTGTATGTATATTGTGTATTGTATGCATGTATGTATGTATGTGTCGCACGTACACAGTAAAATGTAGCGCGTTCAGGTACGATAGATCGGATATAATTTACAAGAGAAATGTACAATACTAAGATCTTTTCATTTGCATTTGAACACGATACTAATACGAACGACGTAATCGAATTTCAAAAATCATCCCAAGGAAAATGTTTTTTCCGACGCAAAAATCTCTTACGATAAACAATCGTATGTTGTATATATATATATATATATATCGTCTTTTTTTATGTTTTTTATAATTCTGTTTTTTTTTCTTGTCTTCATCATCATCATCGTCATCATCGTTTTTATCATTATCATTATCATCATCATCGTCGTCGTCATCGTTGTCGTCGTCATCGTCGTCGTCATCGTCGTCGTCGTCTTCATCATCATCATCATCATCATCATCATCATCGCCATCATCATCATTATCATCATGATCATCATCATCATCATTGTCATCATCATCATCATCATCATCATCATCATCATCATCATCATCATCATCATCATCATCATCATCATCATCATCATCATCATCATCATTTTTTCTTCTTCTTCTTTTCCTTCTTAGTTTTCAAAACATTCACACAATTTATTTTTTCTGACATAACAATAATTATATACGAAATACGATTATCATCGACGCTTTAAAAACTACATATACACGTTTTATTTATTTATTTTTTTTTTCTTTTCTTTCTTTTTCACTGCCTTGTGAATACACAGCACAAACACGAACATTACAAACTCATTATTATTCTTTTTTATTTTATTTTATTTTATTTTAATTTTTTTTACTTTGTTGTTGCTGTTATTGTTGTGTGTTTGGTAAATTCTCTTTTCAATTTAGAGAGCTTTTAAATATTTTATTCGGCAACATTCAGAAACGCATTTAATTAAAACATGCTATTCGACTAACGTGCATATAGCTTTGCCCATTACTGTCTATACATGAAAATGCATAGGAGTAAAGAATAGATAAAGGATAGAAGAAGAGAAAAAGAGAAATAGGGAAAGAGTTAGAGAGAAAACAGAGATTAAAAGAAAATATTATATATCTCATATATACTATTAAATAAAATAATTTACTATGTAAAAAAAAAAAAAAAAATAAAAAAAAGGAAGAGAGAGAGAGAGAGACAAATAATTGAATAAAATAATGTACTATATATATATACACTATGAATATATCTCAAATAATACTACATTATTTATAAAATTTAAAGAAAATAATATTTTCTTTGACCTTTTAATAAATTAAGAAAACTTTTTGAGACATTATGATCACTTTGAATACGTAAAAAAAAAAAAAAGAAAGAAAGAAAGAAAAAAGTAGAAAAAGAAAAATTAAACACATCATTTGACAACATACTTTAGCGAAATTGGCCTAATCTGTCGTGTCGATAAATATATTAATAACGAAGATCTATAGATCTATTTAATAAAATATGACGAGATGAGAATAAGACGAAAGAAAACTTGCTGTATTAATCATTAGTTTTATGCGAATGATTTTGTACACATTGTAATATTTTAATAAATTTAAAGAGAATGTATCTTACTTTTTCTTTTTTCTTTTTTTCTTTTTTTTTTCCTTTATTTTTTATTGCTTCTCAAAATCATGTCGTTGCACGTATAATAATATTTTTCTCGGCGCGGCAGTAATAAATTGAGAATTGTATTAAATTTTGAAATTCACAGTACAACTACACGATCACGATAATTATTTATTTATTTATTATTATTTTTTTCTTTTTCTTTTTTTTTTTTTTTTTTACACATAAACATATCTTTTTCATTTAGTTAAGTTTAATCCTTTTTTCTTTCTTCTCTCTAAACTATCCGTATAGAGAGTCTAAAAAATATGATCACTAAAATCACGCGAGTTTGATAATTGACATGAGATGTGTCGGTTTCATTTAAATAAGAATATAATACGAAAGATTTTATTGGATGAATTTGTTCTCCATTTCATAAATTATAATAATTTAAAAAATAAAAATAAAAAAAAAAAAGAAATAATAATACGATTTGAGATTAATAAATCGAATATGATCTATACAATCAATTTGTACAATTCGAGATATCTACTGCGGTAAATCAATAGATCATTAATCCGCAATCTGAATCGTGTCATCTTAATAATAATATAATAATAAAATAAATATTAATTATTATGACACATGAATATGGTAAAGAATGTGCGAGAGAGAGATAGAGATATATATATATATATATATAGAGAATATATAGAAAGAATATATATATATAGAAAGAGAGAGAGAGAGAGAGAGAGAGAGAGAGAGAGAGAGAACTTGGATGATGATTTTTAAAAAAATCGATAGAAATAAAATAGAAGAAAAATCCGTCTCTTTTTTTTTTCTAACATCGGAGATATTTTTATCCACACAAAACGAAATAAATAATAAACCGATGGATGCTCTTTTTTGTTTGTTTGTTTATAAGTCGCGTGTATGTATGTACAGCGTGACCATTAAAATCATCTACCTACGATTATTTAAAAAAATAATCGACCGCTTTATCTATAAATGAAAATAAATATGTATGTATGCATGTATGTATATTTAACGAGTTACTCTCGAATATATACTCTCGTAAATTTGTTCATAGTTAAATAAAATTAACTTATTCGTCCCTCTCGATAAGATTTTCCTTCCGTTACGTTGTACGGTTTAAAAAGAAAATCATTAATAAACGATTAGAACTCGTCGTTTATTATAATAATATACGCATAAATTTGTAGCCTATACATAGCTTTCACAGAAAGCATCGACTCGCATTGAGATAAAATCTTTGGTCAATGATTTTAACGTGACACCTTGTACAATCGGAGTATTTCATGAAAGAAAAATCCTATGAGAGAAGATGATCGTATATGTATGTCAAGAGGATAATAATTTTTACGAGTTAGCCAATTTCCCCGTAAATGAACACTTAATGGCCGTGGGCGATGATCATTTTATATATAATTAAATTATCAATATATTCGCTTTTCTTTTTTTTTCCTTTTATATATATATATATATATATATATATATATATATATATATATATATATATATATATATATATATAAAGAAATATATATATATATATATCGCACCGATCTACGTGGATGATTGATCGTTAACTCTTGCTCTATACTATCAATGATCTCTCTTGTTTTATTTCAACAATATCCAAGATCGATCGAAATATCTAGTTACTAAAGCTGTTGAAATATTTACTACTGTGTCGAGAATTTATAAATATATCTCGAGAGAAGCTCTTTAAAGCAATATAATTATTAATACAAAAATCAATAGAGTAGTAGCTCAAATATTTACGTGAAAACAATTATTGTTTGTATTAAGCGACATTTAATATAATCCCGTTAAGTGAAATAGATAAAAATGAGTAATATAATACTGCAAATATATTATATCGTTCTATTATATACTTCAAGTATATATATATATATATATATATATATATATATATATATATATATATATATATGATCTTGAAAAAGAAAATCATATTTTAACGATGATGCCAATCGATTGATTCTTTTTTGTTTCATTCGAAAAATCATACGTTCTTTCCTCCCTTACACCACCCACCCAATCTCACCCCCATCCCCCAATGAACTATGATACAATGCAGAGAATGATAAAAATCTAACGCATTTTGTTAAATCGATGCTAATCTACTCCGGTCACTTGCATTAACAATATATAAAGAGCAAGGCTAGCCTTGGGTACATCCACGCAGCAATCCTCCACTCATCTACGCTTTTTCTTTTTTGATCTAGTGCCTTTCTTTGTGGCACTTAAGGTTGACGTTATACAACCTACGCTTGTTTTCTCGACATATTTTTTTCTATCAGTAAACTCCCCTTCAACATCGACGGACGCTGCGTTACCATTAGCATTTAAATCGTCGGGCGAGCTCGAACGTCGTTCAGGTATGATATCTTGATCGGAATCGCTTCTCCTCTTCTCTTGCTGATAATCAGATTCAGGTGAATTCTCTTTGGATGAGGTAGATTCCATCGGAGGATTAATATCTTCTTCTTCTTCTTCATCTTCTTCATAATTAATCTTCTCTTCGTCCACCACCATTATTATATCCTCGTCCTCCGTGATTTTATTAACTTCTTCGGATATTTTATCGTCTTCGTTAATTATTTTAATCGTATCGTCGTCTAAATTTTCGTCGACTTTAGACGTACTTTGTAATTTCAATTTCTCATCCAATTTCTCCTCGACCTCTACCAATGGCTCGAGATCAGATGATTCTTTACGAGTAGTTTCACTTTCGATCATAGGTAGATTCTTTTTCTTAAATATTGAGACCCTCGGATTATTAGTGAGTAACTCCTCGATCTTTTTTTCCATCTCCGCATTCGTATTCAATTCCTCAGCTGCTTCTTGCAATTTTTCAGCTGTTATCTTTCGCGAACAATAATACAATGGTTTCGCATCGAAAGCGGTTGCGTCGGTTGTTCTTAAACCATCCCTTGGCTTTTTCGCGATCGTGTTAACTGTTTTATGACGGGACGACATCTGATTCCAAGTCATTTTGACTTTATGCATATAATTCATCTTCATAATCTCAAAATCATTGCCTCTTCTAGTCGGATCTTCTAAAAAACTTGTAGTTTCTTGATCTGAACACTTATCGAGTTCCTCAGAGAGAATTTTGGATTTGTTTCTTGTAGTCTCTTGATCACACGATTCACATTTTTTCTCCAGATCTTCGGTCGGATCTTTTTCTAAAAGATTTGACTCTGTTATCCATGTTTCATTGATCACCTCGGCATCCTTCTTCTTTTTATTTCCTTTCATCTTACAAACTTGTTTACCATGTATATCCATCCACATGATGTCCTTCGGTTTCTTATTGATTTTGGATTTACACGTTTGCTCCAATTGAATACTTTCTTGTTGCACGTTTGGAAAACTAATTGTACTTTTTTTCTGATTGGACGTTGATACTACAGTTGAGAGATCAACGTTCTGAGTTTCATCATTGATATTCTTTTCTTGACATTTTTTTGATATTGACCAACAATGCTTCTGAATTTCCACTCTACCAATCTCTTTCGAATCTTCTTCTATAACGACGATATCCTTTCGTTTTTTCGTACCTTTCGATTTACTCGCTGTATGCTCCCCGCGAATAGTCTCTGAAGAGACTTTAGCTAGAGAACCAAAACGTTTCTCGCCAATAGCAATTTGCTGAGTTTCTTCTGTTGCCTTCTTATCGAAATGTTTACTCGATGCAATCCATTTGTCCGTAGGATCGACCATAACCCTTACTTCTACTTTGTCGGTCGTGTTATCTTCAATCACAAAAATATCTTTTCGCCTTTTAGTAGCTTTCGATTTGGAACTACGAATGGTTTCTTGTGATTTAACATTAGGATTTTGCTCGTCCGCCTTTGTTGGACACATTATTGTTGTTGTTGTTGTTGTTGTTGTTGTTATTGCTGCTGTTGTTGTTTCTAAGGGGGATACGCAAACGTCGGAATGCTGAATATGTTCGAGATCATCGTCGGAGGACAATGTATGTTTACTCTGTCCCTTAGACGATATAGAGCAATCCTCGTCAGATTTTTCCACATTACTGATGGACGTCGTTCCTAAATTATATTTATTATCAGGTATCTCTACAAGTTCCGATGTATGTATATATTCCAGATCATCGTCGGATATGGTACTTTTACTATTTTTCCTTTGTGTAACTGGCGAGGAATCGGAATAACTAGGTAAATCCATGAATTTTTCTGAATTCTCACGATCGGATGATTCACGGACACGCATTAATTCCGAACGTTGAATATGTTCAATATCCTCGTCCGAATGATCGGACACTGTGGAATCTTTGATGGGACAATTGTTATCTACCAAATGATACTCCATAGAATTAAAATCGTCCGATGGAATTGTCTCGTTTTCTTCCTTGCATTCGACGTTTGCAATACCGTCATCATTAGCATTAGGTTTATCTAATTCTACGAAAGATCGATCAGTGCTGCCACAGCAACCTTCTGATTCTTTGATAGTATCTGTGTCCTTTGATTTGGATTTGCACTTTATATTCTCAGTTACCTTTTGATCCAACTTATGATCGGTTTTTGAAGCACATTCATCATTTGATCTACATTCATCTTCTTTCGATAAATCGCAATGTTTTTTACCGATACAATTATTTTTTGTATCTGTATTACACCGAGTAGGATCTTCTATAACGACACTATCATCTTGTTCCTTTACAATGTATTTGTCGATTCGTGTTCTCAATTCTTTAACAGGTTGTTTCGAGGTCTTCATTGTTTTTTCAGCATCTTTACTCTGATGCCGCGAAGAAGAAGAAGAATAGACGGAGAAGGAAGAGGATGAGGAGGAAGAGAAGGTTTGTTGATTCTTGACTCGCATTTGAGGATTAGCTTTTTCACAAGACAGCCTGTTCTCCATTAGTACGACGCTGTCCTCGTCATAATTAACAACGTATTTAGCTTTGGCTATGCTTTTCTCTTGAGTCTCAGCGTGTTCATATTTATTACTTCTTTTAGATCGAGCAGTACTTTCTTTGGCTTCTGTCATGGGACTGCTCGGTATCTCACCTTGTTCAGCGCAAAGACTCAGGCCACTTGGAACATCTCGAAAAGCGTCCTCTCTCTCGAAGTCGATAGAACAATTCCCCGCTGACTTCATCGATGCCACTTCGACGCAAAGCTCCTTTCTTTCTTTAATATCTCGAATATTCTCGTCTGGTACGCTGTCAATAGCTGGCTCGCTTGCGGAACGCATCTCAGCACAGATCTCTGTTAGATCACGTAACGTTTGATAACACGGTGGCTCAAGATCACCGAGCGAGGCCGGCCCCTCTTCTGCACAAACGCTCCTCGGTGCTTCAGGAACTAGACTCTCCTCCGCGGAATCGAACTCTTGACTAGAGCTGACGTCCTCTTCGTCAGCAGACACGGTTATCACGGTGCCAAGAGGGTTGACGACTTTAGTTACTGGCTGACCCACCCTCTCAAATACCGAGCGCCTCCCTGATAACAGAAAAGCCGTTGGCAGGTATCAAAATCGAGTTACGTATTGTTCAACTTTGCTTTGATGCACGTAAGTATACTCTTGTCGTAGTTGGCATTAAAGATGTTTGGGTTTTTAAAGAAATAGAAAGAAAGATAGATAGATAGACATAGAAAGAGAGAGAGAGAGAAAATGAGAAGAAAAATCTATCAAAAAAAAAAAGAAAGAAAAGAACAACGAATCAACTATAGCACGAGCACTGCGACGAGAGCGAACGGTGGTGCTGGCAAAGCGTATTATATACGAAAGGAAAAATCTCTAATTTCAAAATTGCTTCATCATTTTTTTTTTCTTTTTTCATTAGATATTCCCTTTAAAAATTTGATTTACTTTCCACACTGCACACCGGAAAAGCATTGACGTTGCTGATCCAATGCTCTAATGCTGGAATAAAGCATTAAGAAAGGAAATATATGTATTCTCTGTATACTTAGGAAACACATAAATGTTAAATTAAGAGTCCCTTTTTAGGCTCTATCTAATTGGAAACTATATACACTGGTTAGTGAAAATTGTAACGTACAGTGCTTGAATAGAATTTTTCCAGTGTGTTTTTGAATTTACAGACTTTTTCATACCGTGTTGTGATATGTTAGTGATCAGACATAGTTATAGGGATAAAAACGAAGATACCTGCCTCTGGCCAGTTCTGTGTACAATTCTTAAGATGCAAGCGACCATCCTTTCACCCCGTGCAGAGATCAGAATTGCGTCAATATTCTTTTTCGTGATACGTTCTTTTTTTTTTTTGTTTTATATTTTTTTATTTGTTTCTATTTATTATTTTCGCAAGGGATATATCGAATCGAGTGATATACTATTATATATACTATAGAATTTTACTAAACATTACAACAAATTCTATTGTTCTTTTTCAATCGATTATATAAAAATTGTACGGTCATATTTAAAATACATACTAATGTTCACCTAATGTTTATAAGTGTAAACATTATTTGTTGAGAAGGAAAATAGTACATGGTGATGTGTACTAGCTTTTAACGTGCACATAACTATACAAGCTTTCTAATTTTACATATTATTTTCTAAAAATGGCTAGAATTAAAATGAAATTTGAAAATAAATAAATAAACAGATAAATAAATAAATAAATAAATAAATAAATAAATAAATAAAGGAAGAAAGAAATAAAGAGAGCATCATCTTAATGACTCAAGCATGTTTAGTCAACAATAAGATTATAATGGATTTGTTTCATTGTTAGATTCAAACGTGAGAATATGAGTTTTATACTATCCATTTAACATCTAATCAAATCAACGTATACATTTACTATTATTGGTTCTATATTGTGCTTTATACATATTCAACTACTCCATATGATAGACAATATTTGAACTGGAGTTAATATATAAGTAATCCAAACAATTTATACAAAAATTCATATTGATTTTATAATTAAATTATTAAGTGATATGAAATGTTTTTTTCTTTTTTCTTTTTTTTTTTTTCTTTTTTTCAAGAATTACTTACCAGGTGCACGATGTGGAGCAATTGATGTTTCAAGCATAGCTTCTGCCAAATCTTCTCTTAATTGATTTTCACCACTGCCAACTCCAATATGTTCATTATCTAATGAATCTCCATAAGCTTCCATAAATCTTGGTGACTGTTCATAACTGCCTAAAATCCATATTAATTAAGTACACTGATTCATATATATATATATATATATATATATATATATATATATATATATATATATAAATATATATAATTATATATAATTATATATATTCATATATATATATATATATATAAATATATATAATTATATATAATTATATAGATTCATATATATATATATATAAATATATATAATTATATATAATTATATATAATTATATAGATTCATATAGATTTATATATAATTATATATAATTATATATAAATGTATAAATGGCTACTTAGATAAAAGAATGATGAATCTCTTAAACTTTTCTGTATACACATTATGAATATGTTTGAAAAAATATTAAAATCTTTACTAATAGCATTACTTATTTATATATTTTAATATATATATATATATATATATATATATATATATATATATAAACTTACTTCCTGATCCATCGATAACAACTGGAACTAAAGGTCTAGAAGCTGCATGTGGCATATTAACAGGATTTGATCTTGCTGGGCGTGAACCACCTGTAATTCCAATCTCTACTGCCTCCGCTTCTACCAAGTTTACAGAAACCCTAATAATAAGTTGCTATTGTTAGAATCCTATTTTAAGCAAAGATGTTTAACATCAATTATTTAATCATATTTGTGAAATCTATTTATAGTTGGTCATTTTTAAAGAATGATACGTTGTTTAAAAATTCTTAGAATTAAAAAGAAATAACTAACCCACTAGGTGCATTATACGTTTTGAAAACAAATTGCGGTCCCATCCATAGTCGTCTATGTGGTCCAGCATGCGTTACAATTTCCACCTGACTTAACCAACCATCTTCACTTGTATCAAGTGGCTGAACATTATTGGGTACAGTAGAGACGCTAAATAAAGAACTTGATAATGCTAAAGGTGGTACAATTTCCATAGAATTTGGAGACCTTAGAAGAGGCCATTGACCTTTAGCTTCAACTTCTAGTTCTATCATTGTATCATCACACACTTTTTCTTTTGGTACTCCTATATGTAATAAATTGTCTTAATCAAAAACAGTGTAATTTGCCAATAAGATATCCATACTAACATATACAATATTTTTTATTAAATATATTTCAATATTGCTACAATAAATAAAACATACCAGTAGCAGGTTTAGGCTCTAGATCATATTGTATCATATTTCCATGACATGCCATAATAAACAAAGAATCTACTGCTCTTTTTGCAACCTTGCTACCAGAATCTCTTTGCGCATAAATCCAAGCTCTAGGTGGAGCAAAGCAAGCACATATCTTTAAAGGTAAAGTACCACTATCGTCAGAATGAAGCCGCTGTCTTTGCTGTGGTCTAACGGAACAAGAAATAAAAATAAAATCCATAATTAATACTATTTTATGTCATATACTAGCACAATCTAATTTAATTTATATTTATTATAAATTGAACAAGATCAATTTATAATATAAAAATTTTATATGTATTTTACTAAAATCTAAGTCATAAAAATAAGGCTTATCAGCGTCAATAATAATAGAAATTACCGTGGTTGAGCTTGGCTGTTGACGTGATTCAATGAAGATGGCTGTCTAATTTGTGCTAAAGGGTGCAGAATTGTTGGATGAGGATATGGTGGAAGTCTCGGATTGGAATAAGGATAGACTGATAAAGGTAATTCAGTATGAGAAACAGGAGAATGAGATCTGGTACCATCATCCGTTAAGCCTGCACTTCTGTGAAACCGTGAAAGTCTATTTACTACATGTGGAGTCAAATGAGTTCTCACTCCTACAGATCCACCATAAGGTGCAACTGGGAAAACATGAGTAGTTCCCCGAACGGTTGAAACAGCAGCCCAACGAGTATCAGCTGAGAATGTCATGTCCTACGATAAAAGAAATATAAATTGTTATAGATTGAAGTAATGACAAAAAAAATGACAAAACAATATAATTTCTTACTTGTACTTTAGCTGTGGTATCTCCGCGATGCAAAATATAAAGATGATGAACTGCTGCCAGTGTAGGACCACCAGGATGAGGCTGAACTCTAAATATATGAAAATCATGTCCACGTTTGTCAGCCGTCATTAATAATGCACCGGTTAAATCAAAAGTCATGGCAACGATCGCATCACTATGGGCAGTGAAATGAGCAATTACTGTCTCTATAGATGTATCATCCAAATCCTTTTCCTCCTTTGCAGCTTGTAGGTCTAAAATCATGACTACACCTGGCTGTGTTACATCATTGCCCATATTATTAACAGCTAATGGTGACACTGAGTTTCCTGTTAAACTCGATGCTACTGTTTCTCCTAACCCACGTAGACCTTTTCCTAAAGACTTCGCTGCATATAAAACGGTTGCAGTGTAACTTTGTACACCTTCACCCTCGCAGCCACCACTGCTTCTTCTACCAGGCAATAATTTCTTTTCACTGTAATTAACAATATTAAATACATGTGTATATATATATATATATATATATATATATATATATACACACGTTCTTCTAAGATTGTAAATAATATTTACAAAGAAACAAAAATAATATGCTTACCTGTAAGCTAGCCATCTGGTTCCTAATGCGACAGGGTTGGGATTTGGTCCAGGACTAGGATAACAAGTAGTTACTGTTAAAATATCCTCAAATGTTCTTGCATCAAAGACAGCAATTTTCTCTAAAAATGTTACAACTATGGATCTCCTATTTGCCAGAATGTCACAGACAGGATTTTTAAACTTTATGTTTTTAGTTTGTTCGCCAGTTTTTAGCGAAATGAAACTAATATTGCAAAACTGTGGTCCCGGTCCAGCCGAGTCGCATATCGCTACTAATGGCCGTTTCGGTTCATATGGATCAGCATGTTCAGAGTCAGTCTTCGGATTTGGTAAAATTCTTAAGGTACGCACTATTCCTTGTCGCCATGATAACACTTCTGTTGCTTCTCCCGTTGCTGCTATTAACCATACCTATAGAGAAAAGTTAAAAAGCTTTGATAATATAATAATATTTTAAATGTTCATATTTTCTTTAAATAACTTTTTATATAATTATTACAACGATATGAAAATTCTAACAAAGTACAAACCTGTACACCAGTCGAATACCCAAGTACTAACAACAATGGTGGTGTACTTGAACCTTCATTAAAATCAGGATATAACGCCGGATCATTTATATCTGCATATTCAAATCTAGCCCAACTTATAGATTCTTTGTTATCTGTGCTGGGGGTAGTAGTATATGCCTGAAAGGATAATATCTAATAGATATAAATAGATAATTGAAAGAACTTCTTATAAAACTAAATATTTTTGATTAAAAGTACAACCTGTGGAACTATATCATTTATAATTCCAGCAACACTATCAATAATTGAACGATCAACTATTGGCTGAGGTGATACAACTTGAGCTCCTTTATGCACACTACGTCTTGGTGAATCAGCAGACATTTTTCTTTCATGAGCAATTATTTTCTCTATAAAAAAATATATAAAAAAAAAAGGAATTAATTAATTATTCTTTATAATTATTCAGTTATTTGTTAATATAATGTTTATAACCAAATATTTTTATATCATTTATTCTTATGGTCTTATTGATTTAATAATAAATATTATTCGAATAGAAAACTAAATAAATAGAATTAATTAATTATTTAGAAAATAATCATTTATAAATGTGCGATAACAATGTATAATTAAAAAATAATTTGAGTTATTTAACTTACTTCATATATTCGTTAATACGTTAAACGCGATATTTAAAAGATACTACTAAAGTCATATTTCGTATTATTACTAACCGTTTCATGCATATGCACATATATATATATATATATATACATACATATATATATATACATATACATATATATATATATATATATATATTGTTGTTTATAAGTTAAAAATAGGTGGAATTTTTTTTCTCAAATTAAATTATAATTGTAACATAAAGATTAAAATTATAATCAGGCATTAATGTTCCCATAATCGCGAATATTCCTTGGCGTGTCAAGAGGGTATATTTAACTTCCGAACATGATACCGATAACAAAGATAAATTCATTTTCGTTGAGTTCAACGATCCAGTCGTACGTATCGAATTCTCATTCATTGATTAGAAATAGCATTAATTATTATGTCGATGTATGAAATAGACTTTAATATAATTCTCTTTGTTCCTTAAATCACTACGCAGTTCAAAATATTTTCATTCCTTTTTCTTTTTTTTTTTTTCCACGAAGCGTGACTATTCATAAAACACACATTTTAAATGACTATTGAAAAGTAAACAAATAAGAGCATATTTATTCTCTCTTTCTAGATACGAATGACTAGATAAAAATTAAAGCCTAATATGTGGAAAAAAAAAAGAAAAAAAAAAAAAAAACAGCGAAGGTGATTAAGGAAGTTGAAAAAAAATTGAACGTCTTTCTTCGCAAAGAATATTATGAATTAATAATTTTTCAATAGAAGAAAGAAAGAAAAAATAAAATATATTTTAATTCATAAATAATTATTATCGTGTACGAGGGATAGCTCAAAATGGAAATATGAAGAGGAAAGAAAAAAAAAGAGAAGAAAAGAAAAAAGAAACAAAAAAAAAAAAAAAGAAAAAAAAAGAAAAATAAAAAAAAAATAAAAAGAAAAAATAAAAAAAAAAAGAAAAATAAAAATAAATAAACAAGTAATTTACCGCCGTCGCGTTTTTCAGCATTACACAAAAGTGTTAACGCACTTGTTCAGGCTAACATCCGAAAGTTTATTGGTACGTCACCGATGTATTATTTAACGCTGCAGTGGGAAAGTGCATTGGTAAAGACGGTAGCAGTGGGGAGGTCTATTTTGCTTGTCGAACGGCATTGCACAATTCAACACAGCTGTTCCTAGAGAACCCACTCAGGGTCGACGAAAGAGAAAGACAAAAAAAGAAAGGTGGGGAGAATGAAAAGGAGAGAAGAGAGAGAGGGAGGGAGGGGAGGAGGGGAGAAAGAGAGAGGAACAGAGAGAGACATGAACGAATGAAGGAAGGAGAGGAGGAAGGAAGTGGGAGAGAAAGAGAAAGAGAGAGAGAGAGAGAGAAAGAAAGAGAAAGAAAGAGAAAGAAACAATAAAAATTGTCTTTGTCCGTGAAATACTGGATTTGGTTGAACGCTTTTATTGTGACGCTTTTGAAGAATCCAATAGCGTAGGCGTATTGCGATCGTAATATATGATGCAGGATATAATGTGACCGTGACACAACAAAGGAAAATTATTCTCTATCTTCTTCTTCCAAGGAGAAGAGAGAGATAGATAGATAGAAAGATAGATAGAGAAAGAGAGAGAGGAGAGAGAGAGGAGAGAGAGAGAGGAGAGAGAGAGGAGAGAGAGAGGAGAGAGAGAGGAGAGAGAGAGAGAAAGAGAGAGAGAGACAGAGAAAAGACGAAAAAGAACAGATATAGATAAGAAAGGAAGTGATTTTTCATATACAAAGATCCAATAAATTCCTGAGAAACACTCGATAATAATAAGAAATGATTTATCTTGAAAACTTACTTCGCGACAAGAGCCGTAATTTTTCTTTCCGCGAGGCGCTTGCCACCCTCGCGCAACTGTCTACTGCGTCATTCTGTGAGCGACTGACAACAGTGCCAAGGGAACAGTGATGTCACCCCACCCGCGAAACGTCAATCTCTTTTTACTCTTTTTCTACCTTCGATCAACTTCAAGACCCTTTCAGTGATGATAGCAATAGAATACATACGCACACTCATACGCATAGACGCACTCTTTGTCATTGACACATTTGATCGTCGTTAATACTCTTTCTCCCTTTTTTCTTTACTTCCTCTTCTTTCTCTATTATTTTCACTATGTATCTGTGTAAGATTAACTATCTAGAATTCGCAATGAAAATTTCTCTACTGACATAACTTTTATGAGGTTTTTTTTTTTTCTCTTTCTGGGGGAAAAAAGAAAAACAATAATCAGCTGATCGTGAAGAAATCGGTACGATATCACTGAAGTTAGATCGACGAATGGAGTGGTAGTAGGCTTTTCCCTTAATGGCTCTTAACGTTCGTATCGTCGAATTCTCATTGATGATAAACGTATTCCTATTGGTTCAATTACGATTTCTTTTTATTTCGTCGACCAATCACCGAATCACATTTTTCTATGCTTTATCTAATCCTTCTTTTTTTCTTTTTTTCTTTTTCCTTTTTTTATAATAATACATTTTCTTATAACTTTTTAAAGGAATTTTTTTTAACCGATCAATCACATCGATATTTAATCGTAATTATTGTTTATTTAAATAATCATTATGTGCCTATTTCAATGTTGATATCAAGCGATGTATTGAATAATATCGATTTATATCGATAGTAGGGAAACGAAAAGAGATATCGATTATTACAAATTGTTCTTGTTTTTATTACTATCGTGATAACCTGCCTCGTGAAATCTAATATATATTCGAATAATAAACGAATATATTTGATAATAAAATGGTACGTAAGAAGATTGATAATCGTATACGTATCTTAATAGAAAATGGCGTTGTCACAGGACATAGGACAATGTTTATTATTGTGGGAGAAAAGGCACGAGATCAGGTACGATAATGAATATATATATATATATATATATGTAAAATACCACGTGTTTCTTTTAAAAACAATTTTGGTTTTTTGTTTTCATGTATGATAGTATCGTTTATTCAGGAATCATTTATTGTGTATATATTCTATATAAAAATATCTTTCATGTAATGGCATTATCGAATGATATCAATGAATATTAAAATTAATGTTCCTTTTTTATTTTTTAGGTTGTCTTACTTCATCACATGTTGTCAAAATCTGTTATAAAGGCAAGACCTTCTGTATTATGGTGTTATAAAAAGGAATTAGGCTTCAGTAGTCACAGAAAGAAACGTATGAAGTCAATACAAAAGAAAATCAAATCTGGTAAACTTGACGTTAACGAAGATGATCCATTCGAATTATTTATTGTTTCTACCAACATACGTTATTGTTATTATAATGAGACTCATAAGATCTTAGGTAACACATATGGAATGTGTGTTTTACAAGTATGTATTATATACTCTTAATTATTTTCTTATCATTTTTATTTACGTATAAAATTAAGGTTATGTATCTTATAGGATTTTGAAGCACTAACTCCTAATTTATTAGCGAGGACCATAGAAACGGTCGAAGGAACTGGTATTATAGTTTTCCTTTTACAATCTGTAAATTCATTAAAACAATTATATACCATAAATATGGATGTTCATCAACGTTTTCGTACTGAAGCACATCAGGTTTATTTATTTATTTATTAATTTTTTTTTTTTTTTTTTTTTTTTTTTTTTTTTTTTTTTTTTTTTTTTTTTTTTTGACTCCAAGTCCTTTTCTATACATATAATAATATCATTTATACTTTAATTTATCATAGGATGTGGTTTGCCGTTTTAATGAAAGATTCTTATTATCCCTTGCATCGTGTAATCGATGTTTGGTGGTTGATGATCAATTAAATGTTTTACCTATATCTTCTCATAATTTAAAAATAGAGGCTGTTAAAAAATCACCCTCTTCGGAAGAACAAACTGATCTGGATATTTTGAAAGAAAGTTTAAGAGATACACAACCTATTTCTGCGCTTGTTAATTGTTGTAGGACCGTTGATCAAGTATGATTTTTTTTATAATTGCACATTTAAATCATATATATTGATAATTATTTAAATTAAAATTTTTAGGCAAAGGCATTATTGAAATTTATCGAGTGCATATCTGAAAAAACTTTAAGATCTACTGTATCACTGACAGCTGCCAGAGGACGTGGAAAATCTGCGGCTTTGGGATTAGCAATTGCTGGTGCTATTTCATTTGGTTATTCCAATATATATATATCTAGTCCTAGCCCTGAAAATTTAAACACGCTTTTTGAATTTGTTTTTAAAGGTATAATAAATATAAAAAACAAAGAATTTAATGACAATTAAATTATCATTTATGAGGAAATAATTATTTAATAATCATTACATATATTTGTAGGCTTTGATGCTTTAGGATATCAAGAACATCTTGATTATGGTTTAGTTCAGTCCACAAATCCTGAATTTAATAAAGCTACAGTAAGAGTCAATGTTTTTCGAGATCACCGGCAAACCATTCAGGTAATTTAATCATTTCCAATTTTTTAATAAAATTCTATTATTTCTCTAAAATGAGAATACAAAAAAAAAAAAAGATATATACATATTTTATATATTCTTATAGTATATACATCCAACTGACACACACAAATTAAATCAAGCAGAATTACTTGTAATCGATGAGGCAGCAGCTATTCCTCTACCATATGTAAAAGCTATGCTAGGCCCATATTTAATATTTCTTGCATCGACTATAAATGGGTAAATCTATTGATGTTAAAAGTTGATAAATATTTAATACTAATTAATTATCCGTTTACAATTTCTTTTTTATTTTATTTTTATAATAGTTATGAAGGAACAGGCCGTTCTTTATCATTAAAATTACTTCAGCAGTTAAGGACACAAACTGTTGGATCTAATAGTCATGGAAAAAATGATAAAGAACAAAATGAGAAAACTTTAATAGGAAGACAGTTATATGAGATGACACTTGAAGAATCGATTCGTTATAAACCTGGAGATGCTGTTGAACAATGGTTGACAGAATTACTCTGTTTAAATGCAACTACATATTCCTCCATTCTTTCTGGATGTCCACCTCCAGATACATGCCAATTATATTACATAAATAGGTAGTTTTTATTAAAAATAATTATTATCACGGTAATGTTTTCTTAATATATATAGAAATTATATCAAATTCTATTTCTAGAGATACATTGTTCTCTTATCATAAAGCATCTGAATTATTTCTTCAAAAATTAGTAGCCTTGTATGTTGCGTCACATTATAAGGTAAATTTTATAAATATATAATTTTTATTTATATCTAAATATTATAAATACCATATCGTAAAATTAATATAATTTTCAGAATAGTCCAAATGATTTACAAATGATGTCTGATGCGCCAGCTCATCATTTATTTTGTCTATTAGGTCCGGTTGATATAAATAGAAAAGCATTACCTGAAATATTAGCTGTCATTCAGGTACATCCATAAGCATTATTAATGCATGCAATAGAAAAAAAAACATATATACATAAATTTCATACAATATGTAGGTCTGTTTAGAAGGTGAAGTTAGCAAAGCTACTATAAGTGATGGTTTAGGTCGTGGACGAAGAGCTGCCGGTGATCTAATACCATGGACAATTGCTCAACAATATCAAGATCAAGATTTTCCAACTTTAGCAGGAGCTCGTATTGTTCGTATTGCAACTCATCCTGATTATCAAGGAGTATGTAATATTATATACTTAAATAATTAATCTCTTTTTAAACATGCAACGTAAATTTTTTATATTTTTATGTCCATTTAAATTTTTAGATGGGTTATGGTACTCGAGCATTAGAACTTTTGAAGCAGTATTATGAAATGAACATTTTTGATATTAATGAGGTAGAAATCGAAAAGCTACAAACAGAAATTGATTCAGTTCAAGACGAAGAAGTAGGATTATTAGAGGAGACTATTGGTAATAATAATAATAATAATAATAATAATAATAATAATAATAATAATAATAATAATAATAATAATAATATTATTTGTTTTTTTTTATACAATAAGACTCACTTTATATAAATATATATATTATGTCAGAATTATGTTTAATTCGAACATAATGGTAATTAAAAAATAATCTTTTCGTAGAACCACGAGCTTCTCTTCCACCTCTTCTTTTAAAACTGTCCGAAAGAAAGGCAGAAAATTTAGATTACATTGGTGTATCTTTCGGTATCACAGAACAACTTTTAAAATTTTGGAAAAGGTCTTCATTCGTACCTGTGTATATAAGGTTTGTTTAAAAAAAAAAAAAGTATCTCAAGATACTGTTTCTATTTATAATTAATCAGTAAGTTATTTTCTAATAACATTAATAATATTTCTCTTAGACAAACCTCGAATGATATAACAGGAGAACATTCGTGTATAATGTTATACAAAATAAATTCAGATCAAGAAACTGATAACAATTGGTTAAGCGCTTATTGGAAAGATTTTCGTCGTCGTTTTATAACATTACTTTCTTATTCGTTCAATACATATCCAGCTTCTTTATCTTTGAGTATTTTAACTAATAAGGCTGTACCTGGAGAATCTATTAGTATGCATAACTTTTTTTATTATTATTATTATTAATATCTCTTTTGAATGATCTTAACATATATAAATTATTTCCAATGTATTTTAGCACTAACGAAAGAAATATTGGACGTATATTTCACGTCTTATGATTTAAAACGATTAGATATGTACAGTAATAATATGGCAGATTATCATTTAATTATGGATTTATTACCTTCATTGGGACGTTTATATTATTTAAATATGATGGGTGATATACATTTTTCTCCAGCACAATTGGTAAAAATAATTATATTATTTATCATCATTTAATATTTTTATATTGTTTTTTCTAAATTTATATAAATATCCGTTTGTATGTTTATTAGGCAATTATATTAGGATTGGGATTGCAACATAAAACTGTTGACAAATTAGCTGAAGAATTAAATTTACAATCATCACAATTACTTGGTTTATTTAATCGTATTATACGTAAATCAATACAATATCTTAATTCGATTGCTGAACGTTTTATTGAGAGTGTTATAATGGACAAAAAACTGACAAACGATAACGCTCAATTGAATCCATTAGCAGGGCAAAGTTTGCACGAGGAATTAGAAGCAGCTGAAAAGGTTTGTAAAATTATATTTTTATTCTTCGGATAAGTAAAATACAATCTGTATTATAAGATATTAAAAATTTATCCCATTTTTTTTTTTGTAATAGGAATTAAAAAGAAAACAAAAAGCAGAATTAGAAAAATTAAAGAAAGAAAATCTAGATCAATATGTA